GAAAGAAATTGCACAGGCATTTTTATTTGTGTAGCCAGGATAGTGTGAAGAAGCAGAAAGTAGTGGGGTGAGACCCCCAGTATGGTCTGAGGGCTGTGTGCTCCTGCAGGCAGGTGTGATACCAGCCTGACCTTATGCCTGTTCTTCTGCCTGAAGCTGCATCCCTCTACAAATGGAGCATTTTCTAAAAGCATCCAGACTGTCTGCAGGTGAGCTGGTATTTCTTGACATGATGGAGCTGCTCAGGTACATCAGTGCTGTAAATGGAGCAGCTGAACAAGGTAGGAGAAAACCAGCCCCTGGCCACCAGGCAGGCCAGTATGACTGTACCTGCTGTTCCTCTGTGCTTTGTCATACAAATGCTTTGCATCTTCACATTGTTGCAATATCATTATTGAATCAATTTATGCAAAGAAGAAAACCTTTATGGTGGGAGGGATGGGCAGAGAGGGCAGCAAGCGCCTTGCTGGTTGTGAGCTGTGTTTAAAAGGTCAGTGGTTCCTGTCGCTGCGCTGGCCAGTTGCTAGGCTGCCGTGGATTTTTGTGCTCCTTTCCCCTGCAAAAGAGACCTCGTGACGAGGTGCAAGGTTATAGCAGTGCCTTTTTAGTAACCTCACCCCCTCCTTTCTGCTCGCTGAACAGACCGAGTAATGGAGATGCTCTCAGGAGCTCTTGTTTTCTTTCCAGGGCTCTGCAAAACAGCTGCTGAAGTAGCTGATAGGTTATTTATCCTGCCAAATTAAACCTAAAGTATTAACTTGGGGGAACAGAGCCACTGTTTAGTGAGCTGTCAGGGAACATTTGGTAACTAAAGCTTTCTTAGGGATCGGCAGAATTTGTTCCCATCTTCACCCCATTTACATCTTCTTTGAACTCACAGCAAAGCACATTTACTTAATGCTTGAGTGAAAATTATCTAGCAAAGGTTGCAAAGTGCAGAGCTCTTTCACCAGATTTTCTTTTAACCTTGCTTTTCTTCAGCTGTCTCAAGCAGCAGGAACTCTCATGCACATCTGAGGTATGTTATAATATTAGCCAGTGCTTCCGGTGTGGATCAGGTCTTACCGTGCAGAAGGTGGAGCAGATAAGCAGTGAGAGTCTTATCCTGTACCAAGAAGGTTAAGAAAAAGATGCAACATAACAGTAAACTGAGGTTTGGGAAGGGGGAGGACATGTTTGTTCAGATCAAGTATGTGCTTTCTGCCTGTTCAACTTCATTTGCAGATGCCACAATCTGTACTGTCTGTGATATGGATAATGAGAAAACAGTAGCAGGGTGTAAGCAAATGAAGTTTTCTAAGCTTCAAATGAAATTGTCAGGTTGACATAGTAAGTGCTTTTAGACATATACAGCAACAAGAAAAGTAATTATTTAACTTGCCTATTAGTTCAGTGGCTGTGAAAGGCACAGTCCTCCTTGAAGCAAGTGGGAAGTCAAGTACATGAGGTTTGGACTGATCCTTCTGTAGGGAGGCTGGGTGGCCTATTTTTGTGTTGGCCAGGCATTTCTTGTAATATAGTTGTTTTCAGTTGCTTGTAGCCTCTTTAAAAGTATTCTGTTTGTGTGCATTTTGGCAGACAGGGCTCTGTGAAAATAACAGCAAGTAACCATGTAACCAAATAGCTAATCTATGTTTGCTTAGCCTGATATGTCATCAAATTCTTCCCAAGTACGTTAATGTACAGCTAAAATGTGAACTTGGGTCTCAGACCCTATCTGAAGCTTGCCTGGGAAGTTGGGCCAGATAGCTGGGTTGAGGCCATGGCACCTAGCTACTGCTGTTTGTGCATAAAAATTAGTTAGGGCTCTGTGGAGACTGTTGACTACTCTGAAAAATTTTGTGTATATTTCTGCTTATTGAAGGGTGATTGTTATCCCTTCTTGCCTGGAACTTCCTCCTCCACCCTTAATAATCAAAACTTGAAACACAAACTTCATCCCTCCAGAAGGGGCAATGAAAGATACTGCTCAGACCCAAAATAAGATGCCTGGCCTTGCAAAGACTCTGCAAAAGTGCTGCAGTGGTACATCTGAATTGCTCAGGACCCCTCTGTGATGTATCATTGTTTATGCAAACTCCACCTAACTACAGTACTTGTGACTGCCAGGAAACCCTTGAGCTAAATATAACGAACTTTATAAGTGCCCTGTTAATTCAGGTGGCTGTCGTGGATTTTTATGGGCTATTCAATCATCCAGGCATTTGAACATAACACATTAAACTTGCAATAATACAATAAATCCACCTTTGAGGCCCTTAGTGTTAGATGCAAAATGCAGTGGCCATATGGTGCAAAGCACTGGTACTGGCTCTGTTTGTTCAAGTGGATTTGATAGGATAAATTAAGGGCAGACTTTATTGCTAAATTGTGTATAATCTGTTTGTGCCACTCTGGCTTCACGTTAGATTAGGTATCAGCTTTTCTGTGGCTAGGTTAGGTGCAGACACTCACAAAAGAGTTGAATTTTGTTTTACATCGAAGTAGACAGAGATGTAGTGGTGGTTTGCACCAAATTGTAGTTCTTGATGGTCTGATCATTCAGTGATCTAACATGAAGAATCATGTAAGCACTGCCTTAGCCATCAGACAACTTGTTGATCCAATTTTTTCACCTATTTCCTAAGGCAGTTGTTGCTTGAAACTCTATAGAAAGGGGTGTGTAATTGGCCTTATCAGTTAAAAATAAAGAATCAGTCATTAGTTTGTGTCAGCTTACTCAAAATATAACATAAACCCTCCAAAATTGTCTGTTGCCTGGATGGAATCAACACATGAGAGACATGGTCTGCTCACAAATTAGCAGCATGTGCTGGAAGGCAAATATTCAAGGTGTTTGTCAAGTGGCAGGTCCATGGATGTGTCTCCTGTATCATGTGCCTGGCACCCCTCTCACTAACTTTTGACTGTAGGCGTTTTCAGCCTCCCTCAGATTTTGTGAATAAAGCTAAACTTACCTACAAACATACTTTTTCATTTTACTGCATTAGCCAATCTGTTTTCCCTTTTTTTCCTCAGTTTGTTTGTCTTTGTGCCAGAAGTTTGTTTCAGAGTATAGTGGGGAGGGAAGGAGGGTGTGGGTACACATTGGCACACTGTCCTGAAGCAAATAGGCAAGGTCAAAACCTGTGATATTTCACTAGAAGTGTAAAGTTCAAGGCTTGTGAAGAGGCCAGTGATGTCCTGCTGGTCATGTGGTCACCTGCAGAGACTTCTCAGAAAGCTCTGTCAGTTGCATTGACATTTTTTGTTGTGTATTAGAAAGTTGTGTCAGAAAAGGCAAACTGTCCTGGTCTCCATTTCAGAGTTTTCATTGATCTTTGATGTACTTAAGTACTAGTGGTTAAACAGCTTGAAGAAGAGGTTTGAAATCATAAACTCATTTGGATCTCCTTTGCTTTGTGTAATTTTTCTAGTCGGCTGTAGGAATGAACTTGTAAAGACTGCATCCAGCTGGGACCTTTTAAACTCACTTAGCAGCCTCTATCCATGAGATACCAGGTTTAGTGGCTGCTTACAACACCTCTTGTATTCTCAGCCATGAATTCTCTGATCTTTGTGAGCTGCTGTGACAATTGCTATGTTATCCAAAATGTAGCTGAGTTATGTGTCCTACCTGAGAATTGGCCTATTCCTCATACAGAGAGGAGACTATTTCTGTAACCAGAATCCTTGCAGTTCCTAATAAGATTCCCTCTCTGGCTCCCTTGTAGCCCCTTCAGATATTGAAAATTTGCTATGAGGGCTCCACGCAGTCTTCTCTTCTCCAGGCTGAACAGCCCCAACTTCTCAGCCTGTCTTCATAATAGAGATACTTCAGTCCTCTTAGCAACTTTGTGGCCTCCTCTGGACTTGCTCCAACAGTTCCATGTCCTTCTTATGTTGAGGGCACCAGAACTGTGTGCAGTATTCCAGGTGGGGTCTCACAAGAGCAGAGTAGAGGGGGAAAATCACCTCTTTTGACCTGCTGGCCATACTTTTTTGATGCAGACCAGGATTCAATTTGCTTTCTGGGCTGCCAGCTCATTGTGAGTTTCTCATCCACTGTCACTCCCAAGTCTTTCTCCTCATTGCTGCTCTCAATTACTTCCCCACCCAACCTGTAGCTGTGCCTGGGATTGCAGTGACCCAGATGTAGGACCTTGCATATCATTTTGTTGAATTCCATGAGATTTGCATTGTTCCACCTCTCAAGCCTGTCAAGGTCCCTGTGGATGGCACATCCCTTCCCTTCAGCATGTTTACTGCCCCACACAGCTTGGTGTGGTCAGTGAACTTGCTGAGGGTGCACTCAATCCCACTGCCCATGTTGGTGACAAAGGTGTTGAACAATATCAGCCCCATCATGCTGCATTGAAGATGACTTTTGTGCTAGACTCCATATAAACACAGAGAATAACACAGACCTTGCAAAGAATATTCCTCTCTTCTTTCCTTGCAGTGAATATTCCCCTTTTCATATACAGGTGAAAACTGTATTCTCTCAAACAGAAATTTTGCACTAAATTGTTTACAAGGAAGAACAGCTAATTTGAGTGGAGACTGCAAATGAAAATACAGTTCAGGCCAGGGACTGGCATGAATCAGGGGAGCCTGCTAAAGGTAACCGAGTGGCTCGTAGCTGTAAAGTGTGTGACTTACATGTACATGCTATGACCTGTTGGGGGGAAGAAGGTACCCTGTGCTAGGATGTAACTTCTGGGCAAACTACCCTGAAAAGCGTGACACCAGACACAGGGCCAAATTCTGATGGCACTCTTTTTTCTAACAAATTTTCACAAACTGCATTTGAAAGAAAACACTTTTCTGCAGCAGAGCTGAAGCAGTATGTCCTGCTCAACTGCACAGGTTACAGTGTGTGCAACAAGCCCTGACTCCCTCTCTGCCTGTTTTCTCTCTTTCTCTCTCTCTCTTCCCAGATGGCCAGTGACCCATGTGCCGAGCAGCCCTGGCCCGTGCTCGGCATGCCAGCCAGAGTCAGCCCCTGCCACTGAGGCAAGGAGGACAGAGGAGTCACCATGGCCTTGTCCCAGCGGGCACGGCACACCAGCCCTCCCGACGGAGGCTGGGGATGGATGATCGTTGCTGGCTGCTTCCTTGTCACTATCTGTACCAGGGCCGTGACAAGGTAAAGGCACTGCGGCTTGTCTTGCTGACCTGTTTGTGGCATTAGCTTTTTTTGTGGCTTTTTTTTTCCCTTAGGAAGAGGGTTTAGGATCTCTCTTGATGTCCTGCAGCTGCCAGGGTTATTCTGGTTAGGTACAAAATCTCTCTTGCTGCGTTTTTAAAGGCTTCCTGAAATCCTTAAGGCTGTGGGGATGGTTGAGGGTTTATGAGCCCTCTGGTTTTAGTCTCGCCTCCTCTGACAGCTGCTCCAGCTCTCAGCACCCTCTCCTTGATTTCTTACAGAACCAAGGCCTGGGGCACGTAGTGCTATTTCAGGCTGCAGAGGTTTGGGTGGGAAGGGAGGAATCATTTAGGGTCTCCTCAGATTCGCTGTGTCCCTCTGATCCCACAGCCATGCTCATTTTCACTTATCCCAGTGGATTAGCTTGGCTCCTGAGTCTATATGAAAAACATGTAAATACCCTCTCCTTCTACAGCAAGCATTTCAGGTACTGTCCTGCCCCCTCCATACCCTTCTGGTATCTGAAATATGCAGAAAACATTTTCTCAAAAATAGAAAGAGCAGGAATAGAATTCTGCCTCCCATAAACATAGTGCAATCAGGGATGAGATTGCTTCCACAGTGACTTTGATGTCGACGGGAGACAGAGGGGCCTGGTGTGTGTGAGCATGGACATTTAAGCTATATTAAGCAGGGAGATAAGCTCCCTGGTAAGTGAGGAACACGGGATCAGTGTCTCATTGGATGGCTAGTATAATGTAAATACAATGTTTCCTACCTAAACTTTGAATTTCTTTTAAAATAAAGCTGCCAGGTTTAGGGATCTAAAGCCTAGGGTCTTGGAGTCAACAGCACAAAAGGGGGATGGAAACACTGATACAGTGTTAGTTAATGTATACAAATGTATCAATTCTATAATAACAGTAGAGAATTCCCAGTGGATTTAATTCTTTTTTCACATATGAAATGTGTTGCATCCAAGAAATGATCTAATGGCTGGTGCACATTAAACTATATCGAAGTATGAATTATGTGCAAGAAAAAAAGCTGAAGAAAGTGGTCATTCATTGATTTGCTGGAAGGAAAAGAGAGGGGAAAGGGCATCTCTTGTTTGTCCAGAAATGAGAATGAAACTATGCAGCCTTTTAATCTGTCCCCCTGCAGAGACAGGTAGAATGGTAACACTTGTTAAGCAGAGCAAAGTGACCTCTCCTGGGAGCGTTTTATTAAACTGTTGGAAGGCCCATGAGCTCCTCTTTTGTTTTGATTCTGTTTGTGAGGATTTCCTTAGCACTTGTTTTGCACTTGTGCATCCATTGTGCACTGTTGCTATAGGTGGTGTTTACTCTACAGCTGCTATGTTGGCCCTTCCCTCACAGTTTGTGCAGGTGTGGAATAGCAAGCAACCAGGTCACTGAAGAACTGGGAAGATTGGGCTTTATCTACCAGGGAAGCAGCATCATGATATGGGCTATAGATTGCTGGTGATAATAACAACTTCGATTTCATTTCAGTTTAAAACACTGTGGGTTCTAAAAGCTCTAGCAGCAGATACCCCAGTGAGAAACATGGTGTTATAATGTTAATAATCTCTCTGAAGTAGTTATCTGTCTGCATTAGGCTCTACATCAGCTAATTGTCTAATCCCACTGATGAGATAATAGTTGGACACCAATTTGTGATTCAGTTGTTACCAGTGCAAAGCAAGGATTCTTCTCATATTCCATGTCTTGTCCTTCATGCATTAAGATAGCACTTCATTTCCAATATCCCTTAGAAACTATTTAAACATTTCTCAGTCTCATTGGGATATAGGCAGTCCACAGATTTGATTTTCCTGGGAGCTAGAGAGGACCTTCAATTGGCTACTTTTTATACCTGAAGAGTGTGACCAGTGTTTCCTGTGAGGCATATATCCCATGTTTAACAGATTGGTGTTCACGTTTTCTGTCCTAGGTGCATCTCCATTTTTTTTGTGGAGTTCCAGGCATACTTTGGACAGGATTATGCCAGAACTGCTTGGATTCACTCCATTGTCGACTGTGCTACAATGCTTTGTGGTGTGTATTACCCTTTTAAGTCTAATGTGGCTGCTTTTTCACAAGCTCCATCTGATTTTAGCATGTTGACAAGTTGGTGGAGTCGGGAAGAGTGATACCGTGGGCTCTCTGGGTATGATATATCCAAACTGCTTTCCTCAGCATAGTTGTGCAGGAAGGGAGTGTCTTCATATCAAAGAAAAGAAGCAGAACTTTGTTTTGTGAAATGATCTAAGTTTTCAGAAATGTACTTTTGTCAAGGTCTAGTGGGGCATAATGTGTTTGAGAGCTGCTAACTGAGCTTGTTTCTTTTGCCTTTTCATTTGAGTCATATTCAAGACTTAGCACAGGATGTACATCTTGCCTCCAGATCAAGTCACAGTCATCCTCCTTTTATTAAACTTGTATATTTACAAATAGTCTTCTCCCTTAAAAGAAAATTCAGTGGTACTAAAACATGACAGGCATCAGTGCAGCAGTTGTATCACATTTCTCATGGGTTTGCTTTAAAGCTCTACAGCTAGATGAAAATCCATGCCCTAGTCCTGGAGAAAATCCGTAAGAATTGCTAGAAGGGCAGAGGAACACAGCTGGAATGAGTCATAGCAACTCACCTATGTCAGACAGGTTATATCTTGAGAAAAGAAAGAGAAATAAGGCTAACCTTGCCCTGGCATTGCAGGTGATGGTGGGGGAGAGGGCTGGTGATGACACCCCACGGTAGAGGCAGGGTGATCTGGGAGCCATCAATGTTGGACAAGTGCAGAAGAGGGATAGCAGTCCTGAAGATGGTCCAGAAGATGTGAGACCCCTCCTCTCTGGGTCTGATGCAGAGCCCACAAAGCCAGGGAGGTGCAAGGACAGATGCCTGAAGTTACTGAGGGCTGAAGTGCAAATTCCAGGTGGGGGAAGGTCTGAGTGCTGTAAGCGTGGAGTAATGAACAGTGTGGGCTGTTGCTATGGCCTCTCTTGAACCTCAGTACTTCAGATCAGCTGTGTCCTGTAGTGACTCTGAGCTGTGAAAATAACTGCTGAGAAAGCTACTGTAAATTTCAGTTTTATCCTGACTTTCAGGAAAATTATTTTTAGAAGCGTTTTTTCTTTTGTTTTGATGCAAACATCACTGTGATAAGTGCTATGTTGGAAGATCACTCTCTGTAGCTGTGATCACCATTTCCTCCTCTTTGCCTCCTGCTTTCCTTTTCTTTATGGCTGTTGCAATGAACTGTGTGAGGCCCTGCCATTAACTACCAGCTTTATTTGTTTCTTTGAAGCCCCGCTTGGGAGTTTAATCAGTAATCACGTATCCTGCCAAGTTGGTATCATGCTAGGAGGGCTGCTTGCATCTACTGGACTGATTTTGAGTTCGTTTGCCACCAGTCTGGAACATCTCTACTTATCACTAGGAGTCCTTACAGGTAGGATGCATTCAGCCCTTTTGTTTCTGCCAGGAACACAACACAGGATTTGTTAAAAATGATGAGAGATCTCCTTGTCATATTGACATAGCACTGGTCAAACAGAGATACTTAGAAGTGTTCCCTTCATTGTAAAAGGGAGGCTTTGGCTTCCCCTATGAGAGCTTCAGCACTCACTGAGTATCATACAACCCAAATGTCAGAGAAAGGATTGTGGATAAAGTTCTGAAATTATGATAGGCCAGGAAAGACTGCTGTTGCAGGTGATATACATGCAAAAGCTTCCTTTTTTTTTTTTCCCCTGTGATTTGGGAGGAGTTTGTTACAGTAGGAGTTCTAGACTGGCCTAAAATATTTTCATACTTAGAAAAAAAAAGTTTCAATCAAAACATAAGAGTAAGTAAGAGCCAGTAGAGCCCTGGATGAATACCTGGCACCCCAGCTGTGCACCTTATTTTTCTCTGCATTACATTCCAGTTGAAAAGCAAAATTTGCTAGCTGGTAGTCTTACTGTAGCAGCTCTGCCATTTGTGTTCAGGTATGGTGATAACAAATACCTTTGCTCTGTCCTATCTGCCTGTTTTTGTTGTGCACAGAGGAACTTGAGGGAGGCCTGTGGTCACACTGGCATTCCTTCCTCATTAATACTGACCTGGTAGCCACGGTGATATAAGACCTTGTACTTGGTCCCCTGCTGTTTAATAAGGAGTTGGGGGAATTACTGCAGTTCACATGCTGCCAAGAGCTTATTTATTAAAAAAAAAAGTGCTTATTGTAGTGCATGTCACTCCTGTATTACAATGTTAATCTTTGACAAATGTGTTCATAACAAATTAAAAAGCTTCTTGTAACTCAAGGGGCTGTGCCACATACTATGCTAATGTCTCTGAGGCTTCTTTGGTGGGAACTGCTGTGAATACTGAGGTGGAAATGCAGTTGCACTTTGTACATAGAGTGGAAAGAGCCAATTCTGCAAGCAGTGAATTTCTGGTCTGTGGAGACTGATTGACAGAGAGATGAACTTTTGGTAAAGGCTAGAGGTGGTGCCCCCAACCCAATGAGGAGGTAGGACCAAAATGGGTGAACATCTAAATCCATAAAAGCTACAGGACTCAAAACTGTGTAGAGTGAAGCAGAGGTGAGACAGGGGAATGTCAATAGGTAGCGAAATTCCTTCTGAGAGGTATGAAAATGTTTTCAGCCCTAAACTTTGCATTTCCACATTTCACAGGACATTTATTGGCTTTTTTTCAGATCTATTTCCCCCTGCCAACTTGCTAAAAAATAAATGGTGTGTATGCCAAACAGAGTATGATTTTCACAGCTCTCAAGTAATGATGTCTACCTCAGGGCTGCTCCTCTGGCTATGCTGCATGTACAGATCCAACCCCAGCTCTGTGCTCTGCTCTTCCCCTGCCCTCATGAGGGGTGCCAGACTTGCCCAGAATCTCTGTAATCCACTTATTCAATCCTGGCAGGTTTAGTGCCTGCCCTACACAGTGTGGCCTTTGAGGAGGACGTAGCAAGCTGGTTATGGCACTGGGTGTTTATCTCCTCTATTGGCAAGTTCTGCTAAAGGCAGTGGGGACTGTTTTACTCTCAATGTAGGACATGCTCCAAAACCCTAGACAGGAACTCATTTCTGTGACTGATTCAGAAATGCATGTTTTAGTGTTAGGGCAACCACTTGATGATTAAAATCTGCTCTCTGGTTCTGCAGCAGAGACCACAATCTTTTCCTCTGTCCAAGAGCTGAATCTTATTTGTTTACTCAATTTGACCTGGCTTTATTTTCTGAGGCTTTTCTTCCCTCTTTACTTGTAGACAGGATTTAAAATGGTCAGGACTCCAAGCAGCTGTTGCACAGAGTTTGTTTAGCTGACTAAGAAAGGATTTTTTGTAGAATATTAGTAACAGAGACAGACTGCATTGTGTTTTAGAGATCTGAAAATTACTGATCAGGGTAGCAACAGACTGAAACACAGAGTGGTGCCTGATCAGGATAGTGTGCCCAGTGCCAGCATTGGTGTAGACCCTGGGGCAAGACCTCACCTTGCATGCAGGAGAGGCTGATGTACCATTTTTCTGATGTTTATTGACTGTTCTTGTTTTTAAGTGAACCCCATCAATTCTTTCTGAGCTTTGTTATCACGGATTAATGGTCATCAGTTAGGTTTGTCAACTAAATGGCCCTGTCAGTGGAAGAAAGAAGTCATTCTAGCTTCTCATCACTGACCTGGGCTGCACAATACAGAATCAGAAAAAGCTTTCTATTCATTTGTGCTATGAAAGCATGTTGTGTGATTTAATTTAATATGTTCCACATGTCATGCTTAGTATTAAGCCAACTGCACTGTGCTTTCTCTTCTAGGACTTGGGTTTGCACTCTGTTATTCTCCAGCCATTGCGATGGTGGGCAAATACTTCAACAAAAGGAAAGCGTTGGCATATGGAATAGCCATGTCAGGAAGTGGAATTGGTACCTTCATCCTGGCCCCCGTGGTCCAGCTCTTAATCGAACAGTTTTCCTGGCGAGGAGCTTTACTCATCCTGGGAGGTTTTGTTTTAAACCTCTGTGTCTGTGGTGCCTTGATGCGACCTATTTCTCTCAAGGAGGATCGTAAAACTGCTCCTGAGTTTCTTGAACAGGATTATGTCTCTGAAACAGAGAAACAAGATTTAAAGCGAATGTCCATCTGTTCACCTTTAATCAAAGTGTGGTCTCATGAATGTTCATGGAAAGAATATGACTTTTTACTGATGCCAGGCTTCATGGTGCTGGCAGTGTCAGTTTTATTTATGGCATATGGTTGTAGCCCTCTTTTTGTCTATTTAGTGCCTTATGCTTTGAGTGTTGGAGTGAGTCATCACCAGGCTGCCTTCCTCATGTCCATACTTGGTGTCATAGACATCATCGGTAATATCACCTTTGGATGGCTAACAGACAGAAGGTATGGGCTTATGGCTAAGCAAGTGTAAACTTTTGCTGGTGTCAGATGTAATACATATAAAAGTCAAAATTATGGACTTTTTATCTAGCATGTGTAACTTCAAAAAAACCCAAACCAACACACAGCCTGACTTTCACAAATACTTACTATTGAATGTTTTTGCCTACTCTGAGTTTGTTCAATTCTGCTGTTTTAATATTTTTTTTTACTGAAGAAATAATGGGTTTGTGCATTTGACAGTGGAAAAGTAACCCCCTGCCTGAGGTATGTTGAGCGTGATTCTCTGTATCTATTTCCTGGAGGATTTCACCCTGCTTCCTCTGCCTTACCCTTTCTTTTGTGCTGCTGGGGAGGCACAGAACTTTTGGAAGCGGGTCAAGGGTCTGGTCCAACACTGTCAGGTACATACTCAGAAGGACTGACTGAAATTTGTTATACATTTTTCCAGTATGTAAGAACTCACCATGCTTTACATACTCATCTCACTCCAAACATCAGCCTACAGGATCTGAAATGTCAGTAGATACTGTCTAAATTAACAAGGATTTTGATTCTAAAGGATGCATTTTTGTGCTTATTCAGTTTGTAGGAAAAATCAATTTCTGGTTTTGTGGGGCAGGGAGGAAGGGAATTGCCATCTCACCTAGTTCATGCTAAATCATGTTTAAGGTCTGACTGGAAGGGTGACAGCTAAGAGACTGCAATATTTTATCCATAATAGTGAGAGCACCTTCCTGAGCTGGCATGTAAAGCCCAGTGAAATGCTGCTTTGAATGCTGAAACTTCTGAGAACTGCAAAATCTTCGCAGCAGGGTGGCTTCCCTCACTAGGAATGTCCTGAAGGACACTGCAGGCAGCATAGGCTGTTGCTTGCCAGATGTTTCTGCAGCTGTAGGCGGGCAGTTTCCCTACCTGGGCTCATCAGTGCTGAGTTTTTAGTCTTGAAGATTGTGTAAGAAAATGGACTTAAGTTTGAGCTATATTAATAAAATACATTAATTAAAAGAGATACTTAAGCACTGCCTGCCAGGGCATAGAAACTGAGATGCTCTGTCCAGTGATAAGATTTTTCTTTTCTGTTTGAAAATTTGCAGGTGTCTGAAGAAGCATCGGTACTTTTGCTACCTCTTTGCTGTGGGAATGGATGGCCTCTGTTGTCTTTTCCTGCCAGTTCTCCATAACTTCCCCTTGCTTGTGCCTTTCTCATTTACCTTTGGCTACTTCGATGGAGCATATGTAACGCTGATCCCGGTCATGACAGCAGATGTAGTGGGAACTTCTTCGTTATCATCAGCACTGGGTGTTGTGTATTTTCTGCATGCCATCCCATATCTAGTGAGCCCACCTGTGGCAGGTCAGTTCCCAAATGACTTTCCTATAATCTTATCAGTACTTCAGGTTTACCTATTGATGTGATGTAAAAGGAGAGCAAGGACAGTAAGTACACACCAAATGTGGAGGTAGCCTCTGGGTAGAGAAATAACACACCTAGATCTTCATGAGTCTTTAGATCTCCCATTCTATCTCAGTGGGATGATTTCTACATATAGAGTGAGATGAAATCTCAAAACCAAAACAGTATGGAATGGGCTTCTAAGAACTGTTACATCACCACTTCATGTAATTTAGAAATTGTGCAAGTAGAAGGAGCAAAATATTTCAGTGTAAAATCACATGATTTTGCAAAGGATCTAAAGAGAGTTTAATTCCAAGATTTATGTTTTTTTTTGGTGTGGAGGCCTTGATCTTTTAATCTCCAAACTGCTTTGAACAGGCAGGTGAGTCAGCTCCACTCCTATTTGTTCAGAAGCTCATTGCTGTAATATCTAACTATCATTTTCCCCATCGGTTCCATTACAATGAAGTAAGGATGAGAGCTGTACTTGTATTATTCTTTGGGAAGATCTTGACACAGTTTTCAATATTGCAAAAGGTCAGAGATCTTTTTCAAACAGCCAAGTATAAATTCCGTATTTTTCTGCTGTTCACATCAATTCCCAATTAATCGTGGCTTCTGGAGCTTTTGATTTCCCATAGCAAAAACTATTGCAAAATAGAATTATTTTAAGTGTAGCATGAGCCTAGGGTATAGCTCACTGAATGTTCCTGCATGAGGGTCCCATGCACATACTATTTAATCCCAGGGCTCCCTAAGCCTGTCTAAAGACTGCCAATTAAATCCATGCAGCTGGAAGATGTTTATTTGGTATTGTGGATATGACTGCTGTGCCTTTTCTCATGCATTTGACCTCCAAACAAAAGCCCATAAAAATCTTATCTGCCTGCTGAGGATAAATCCTTCCCTGCTCCAGGAGGTAAAAGTATAGTGATGGTGGTGTAAACCTGTATTGTTTGACTGTGTTTAGAATGTGGTAACTCCAGAAGTTTATAGAACTCCTGCTGATCACAGTATTTGTAAATTGTCAGCATACTGGTGGACCTTTTTTTTTTTCAGGTTGGCTTGTGGACACAACTGGCAGCTATACTGCATCATTCCTCCTGTGTGGATTTTCTATGATATTTAGTTCAATGCTATTGTGCTTTGCAAGACTAGCAAAGAAAATCAAAAGAACACATTTGCAGTCTCTCACTGGTGATACAGGCATGAAACAGCACATCTGGACCAATGGGGCAATAGCTTATTCTGTCACAGCAGAATTAGACCAAAAGGATGTTGAGTTTTTGGCTGTGGATACAAACAGCTACAGCACCAGGTGACAAGTACCATCAAGACTCAGTACGGCACAGCCGTGACTGAGACAGAGGTGGCTCTGTAGTGTTATGCTGTTGAAGACACTACTCCTGTGAAACAAGGCATCTCTCTATTAGATTTTTCTGTCATGTTTTAGTTGGCTAAAATTTACCTACAGCCAAAGTAACACCAACTTAATGCAGTAACAGAAGAAAGCTAGACTGAAAAGAGTTTGTAGGTATATGTGTTCACAGATTTATTTGAAATGCGATCTCAGCTCCACAGGTAAATGATAATTGGCTATAATCAACAGAAAACTATGAAGCAGTCAGTCACAAAAACTGAACAACAGCATTTAAATTACACAATTTAATGTAATGACACAAGCTTTTTGGTGTTGTGGTCTAGTATGTTTCGGTGGACTAATCAGACAAACCATCAAAAAACCCTCCACATTTATGAGCCTGCATGAAACTCTTTGCAAATAACTATTTCAAATGCCAAAGCTATTTTTGTTTGTTTGTTTTTGGAGGTTTTTTGCTTTGTTTTACAAAATCTGGCAGTAAACTGTGATTTATACTGAAAACATCTCTGGAGCAGCTTTAATTTTTACAATGTGCCTGAACTTTGTACATACATTGCAATTTAATTTCAAATATGGTCTTAGCCTCTACAGCAAAAAAGTTTATTTCTTTTTTTTTTCCTTCCTGGATATCTTTAAAGCTTGAATTTTTAAAAATTGACATTCCAGGTATGATCTTCCAGCTGATCCTTGTCTTGGAGGGTGGAAGAGGTGCTGTGGCGGCTCTACTATCTGAAGAGGAGTAAATTTGTGCCAGGGGACTAGGCATGCTGATACACAAACCTGCTTTAGCTGCACTGGTTGGAAGAAGCCCAAAGGTAGCCCAGGAGACCAGAGGAGAGGCTCATGTGTTTCCAGACACAGAGCCTCTTCCTCTTGTAAGATCAGCAGCTGTTGAAGAACTTTAGAGCCCATGCAACCAGATGACTGAGAGACTGCCCACTCCACAGCCATGAGTAAAGAGGATGTTGCCAGAGTTTTTTTTGTGCATTGCAGTGGCAAATCTGTGTCATTTTGGACCCAGGAGTTGTATCTTCAGGCGGTGCAAGTTACTCGACTGTGCCAGCTGAAGACCTCTCGCGAGGGTCACTGGCCTTGATGGCCAGAACACAACAGCTGCAGTTGCTGATGGTTTGCAGCTACTTGTGTGAGGAATATACTGCAGCTGTCTGCTTCACACGAGCTATGGACTGAGTGTAGCTCATGGGGTAAATTACTGATGTGATGATCTAACAAATGATGGGATGTTTCTGCATTTCCAGAGTGAAACTGTTGTCAGCAATGGAGGAACTTCACATTCTGCAATTCAAATTATTTCAGTGTCTTGCTGCTGTATAAAGCTGCATCCTGTTCATTAACAAATTGATCCGGGTCCAAATAATTGTCATTAACACAGAACAAATAGTTTTGTTAATCATCTGCAGTGGCTGCTCACCGTGTCCTGCTCCACTCTGTGCCTTGGAAGGGAAAGCAACATAGACTGATGACCAGCAATTTGATTTAGATCAAGAGTAGAGCCATGAGGGTATAATGTATTTATATATATATATATATAAATAGCATGTGTATCGAGTAGTTTTATTCTTCAAGCATATTTCAAATAAAAAATATTAAATTTCTTTTACATCAGTTGTCTATGCTTAAATAAAGCATTTCTTGCTGCCCTGCTTCAGAAGTGAGTGCAGAGCCAGTAACATGATCTGTGTCCGCAAAACACAGAGTAAGAGATGGGAGTGTAAAAACTAATGACATAACCTTTTTCAGCTCTACATGAAAATTGACTCCTGGGCCCTAATTTTGTTTTTCACATGTGTTCCTTAAGAAAAGACAAAAAAATTATCCATGAGTGTTTCTTAATGAGTTAGGAAAAATATGCACATTTGGAAAAAGATGAAGTGGTTTTATTAATTAGTACTGATGAATATAATTTTTAGATCTTAATTCAATGTTTTAATATTTTTAAAAGTAGAGAATAATATGATCTACAAAGAATATAAGTTATTTTCAACAAATTATAAATTACCACTGCATTGACTTTACAAAAATTTAATCACTTTGTTTGCCACATTATAACATGTCACCAGTTGTTCATGTCAGAACTGCATATTGTAAAAGCCTCTTGGAATAATGCTATATGCATTTTTATCATAGTAAACTGTACTGTGTAATACATCATTAGCATTTTTTATTTTTTTATTTTGAGAGATTTTTTCCATAGGCTTTTCCCTTATTGTGTTTAAAGCAGTACTTCTTGTTTTAAATATCTTATTTAGCAGCAAATAGACCTTTTGTAGAAAATGGTAGAATTCTTTCAGGCTTTTCTAACACTGTTTCTGCTCTGACTGAGGCCAATAGGCAAAAGCTTATATACCAGAATGATGCTTTCTGTGCATAAAACACCCTGTGAAATATCAGCCCTGTCATGAATGTCCCCACAGAAGGAAGGAAGCATTACAAGAAATGACCTGCAAGTGGAAGAAATAGGAATACAGCCCAGGCTTGTGAAGCCTCATGCCAAACTTCTACCCCCTGGTCTACATGGCTCAAGCTGAACATCACCTTCTTCATCCTGCCGTGTGAAATAGTTCAGGCAACACATTGTTGAAGTCTCTGGATTACAATATTTTAAAAGAATACCTGATTGTATCTGCAGTATTTTCTTCAGAAATGATAATATTCAGTCTGTCCCCTATGGAGGATATTTCCCGGCATGGCAGAGTGCAGCAGTAAGCTGAGACACCTGGGCAAGCTGTGAACAATTTGCCAGGCTAACACTACATGTTCAATGATCTTAGTAGCCTTTTCCAAACTTAATGATCCTATGATTCTGTGTTTCCACTAGCCCTGATGGATAGGAGCCCTGATGGATAGGAGCATTGATGGAGCACTGCATGGTTGAGCCTGTCTGGCTTCCTGGGACACTGTGGTTTGACTTGGCTGGGGTAACATCTGTCTGAGACAGAAACAGACAGACTCTACCTCAGATGAATCCTGCCTGGGATATTACTCTGTTCTGTGCAGTGAACAGGAGTTCAGCGTAAGGAAGTGAAACTGCTTGCAACTGCTGAAGTTGTCCCATCAGTTTCCATTCCATGAGGTTTGAAACGGGGAAATAATAATTATTTTTCAATTGTTTCTGTTCCAATGATAATCTGGAACATTTAATAAATTGTACCTTGAAAAGCTGTGTGAATGCAACATTGGAAAAGTCGAGTACCTTCTGTTGAAAAAATACTGCTTTGTCAGAAAAAAACATTCCTGAAACATTCCTGTCAGCTTGGATAATAATTCATCTCCTGAGAAAGAAAGGCTGTCTGTGCTCCTGGGTATTGAGTATATTTTATATTGCCACAATAATTCCTTTTTGCTTTCTGAAGTGTTGCAAATTTATGTAAGAAGGAAGAGCTTGTTTAAGTTAAGCTGTAAAAGTACTTCATGGTTGGCACAGCGAAGTCCTTAGTCAGGTTTGCCACACTAAATAATAACTTCTTCTAAGTAAAAATTCTGGTGTATTCCAGTAGAATTTTCTATATAATCTAGAAGGTGCATTAGATTCATAAATTAATACTTCCTGAAGGGTTATCTGCACTTTTGTTTCCCCTGTACCGCTGCATCGGCTCCAGTGATGTAGTCCTACCTGAGTGTGAATGGAGAGGTGATCAGCTTCTGCGCGTTTCTGGTTTTGCCTAATGGACTTGGACGGTGCAAAATGTGTGTTTTGTTTTGTTCACCCCTCGAAGAGCAAGTTCAGCCTCTTGCTGTGTCGCCGCCCCAGGTAGTGCAGCAGCACCACCCTGTGGGGAATAACATTTTTTCTCGTTTCTAGGCCACTGGGCAAAATCCAGAAGGCTGTGTTCGCACAGAGCATCCCCAGGCAGTACTGCGCTCCAGCACATTCCTCCAGAGTCCAAAGCAGGTGAGGCACAATGAATGAATTTCTTGCATCACTGTGTCTCACAGTCAATTTCTGCACTGTGGAGAAGATTGAACCACTCTGACTCTTCATAAAAATTCAGGATCACATTTAAAAAAAAATTAAAAATTTATAGCTTATCTTTGTTTCTGCAAGTTTTATTCCAGAACAGGCTCTGGTGTCAGGGTGTGGAGGGGAGACGGATGTGCCACCACTGCTTCGGGAACATGCACCACCTCTTTTTCAAGTTCTTCCCTGCTGCTCTCCACCCTCGGTGTTCTCAGTAGGGTTTGGACAGCAATGATGCTGACCTTAGAAGCCCCCAGGACTGAGAAAGGCAGTAAGTTGCCTAACATTGCCTTTTGCCCACACAGATGAGCACATCACCATAGGTAGTCCCCAGTTCCCGAACTTCAACCCCACTGTTGTTTCTACCAGCTTCTAGGAGTGCTCTGCCCTTCCTGTTCCCAGTGCCTCCTGTTCTCACTCCTCACTGCTCCTTCCCTAGACAGGCCTGCCTTTGTTTGTAAGAAGCTGGCAGGTGGTTGGGAAACAAGGATGGATTTTGCCCCAGCCCATTCTTTAGGAAAAGGTGTGGTTGTATTATGTACACTGTAAACTCCTGATCCCTTTTGCTTGTATTATGAAAGATTTTATGAGGAAAAACTGAGAAGGAAGAGGCTTATTGATGTTTTGTGATGTCACATTGTGTTTTTCATTCCTTCCGTCTTGTCATCTTGTCTATACATGGGTATGCTGTTGCAGGGACAGGAATGCTCCAGGATGGCTGGAAACAAAAGTGCACATACTTCCTGATGGGTTCTATCATCAGTTTGCTTCATGCTAAACTACTGGCAAGGACTCAGAAGTGTTTTGGAACTACCGCATTAGTTTTCCCTGAGCGCCATGAACTAAGATATGAAGGTACACTACTGTGGAATTAGGACAGGCTGTAGTAAAGAATACTGATTTTAGTTGGCTCTCTGAAGACAATCACCTCTTCTGGCATTTCAGCGCTTTCTTCCATTCACAGAGACTCTGAGACCACCCACCCCTTTGCCCATATGCCCCTTGTGTTCTGCTGCTCTGCTCTCTGGTGCTCACGCAACTCTTGGCCCTAGCTGCACCCTGCCCTGCATGTCCAGTGCAGTTCATTTCTGGTGTGTCTTTGCTACCCCCGGCTAGTTCCACAAGCATGGCCATAGATAGCCATCTCTTTGGCATCTCATAGACCGCTTTTCCTTCCTCTCCAGATGTTTGCTGGTGCAGTTTTGGGTAAACTAGGTAGATGTTGTTTTGTGCACAGTCTTTGGTGTAACACCTCTGAAGCCAGCATTGCTGAGAGTCCAGGGAAAATAAATCGGGCTGTTTTCTGAGCCATTCATATCCTGACAACACTCTATCCCTGTTACTTTGTTGAATGGCCATTTCCCTCTAGTCAATCTACTATCATGAAGACAGGTCAAGAGAGAGACACCAGAAGCAACAGTTGATGGATGCAATGCTCTTTAATACACATTTTGTAAGCTTTCCAGTGAACTGGCTACACTGTGTTCATTTTTCTGAGCAAGCGTCAATAAAAGTTTCTTCTACAAAAGATTAGATGAAATATTTTAAAAAGCATCAGAAATTCCATTTGTGTGTAAGACTCCCTTTCAAGTAGACAAAATACTACAGTATGATTCCTTTATCCTTTTGTCAGTAGGAGGTAATATCTGATTTTTAGCTTAGAAGTTCTGTGTTTTGCAGATCATCACTTACACACAACCTTTATACCTGTGTTACAGATCTGTTGAAGGCTAAGTTAGATGAGCTATTATTTAGTTATCCAAGCATGCTCTCTGCTGGTGAGTGAACAAAGAAATGGACAATCATTGCCTGCAGTTTCTACATTACCACCAGAAAGTGATGCCACCCGTGTTTCATCTGGCCATAATGTCACCTTAAAACAAAAACCAGCCAACCAACCAACGAGAAAGAAAGTTTTAAGAATCTCTTGAAATGTCCTCATGTTCGGGGATTTTGGTGTGAAGGATTTTTGGGAGCTTTAGCTTGAGATGGAAAGGCGCAGCTCAAATAATGCATTCCGATAATCTTCATTGTTGGGATCCAGCTCAATGGCTTTCTCATAGCACTCAATTGCTTCATGTTTTTTCCCCGTTAGTTTATGAACAAGTCCAAGGATGCCAAAATCTGTTGCATTTCCTGAACCTCTCTGAATTTTCTGTTCCAACAATTTCTTCAGAGCATCTCTGCACTTATTTCTTCCATAGGAATCTTTTTCAATTTTCAGCCCTTCTATGTAATAGTGAATTGCTTTAGAGACTGACTTCATGTGAAAACGCTGAAAATTGCCATAATTGAAGTAGAGTAGTTGTTTTTCAGTACGAGGTAGATCATCTCTGTGAAGCACTTTCTGAAATGTCTCTTCTGCTTCTTCATACCTCTTGCCTTCTGCATACATGTTTGCTAGGTCAGTATGGGCAGTAAAAAATTTTGGCCTTCGGTCTACCACTATCTTAAAATGAAATGTGGCAAGCTGGATGAGTTCCTCCACTTGCTTTTGAGGTGGATAGCTTGTGTTTTTCAATTTAAGCATCTTTCCTCTGTAGCAGATTCCTAGTTGGTGATGCAAAAAGTTACAATTTGGTGCCAATCTTAGGGCCTTTTTCAAAATCTCTACTGCCTTGTCCACTTCTCCTTTCCTTCTGTAAAACACACCAGCATATCGCAGGAAATAAGGATGATCAGGGGTTTTCTGCATGGCTGCTTCAATATACATCTCCCCTTCAGCAACTTGCTGTAAGTCCTGAAGCTTTAATGCAAGTAATGCCATAAGGGAAGTATCCTGTGGATTCAGTTCCACTGCACGCTTCAGGAGCTCAAAGGATGGGACTGCCTCTTCATTATATCTGTAGGCTATTTTTTCCAAACGATACATCGCTATTGCATAGCTGGCATTAAAATCTGGGTTATTGGGTTCCTTCTTTAGAGCAATTTCGAAGCATTCCTTTGCTCTCTCGTAGTATTTCTCCCCAAAATGTAATAATGCCCACCCTTGCCCACAATAGACCTCTGGAAGCTGAATCTTCCCATCAGCAGTACTTGAAAGACTTTTGCTGATGTCTGCCACTTTGCTTATGTAAATTTGAGCTTCTTCGTATCTCTCCATGTGGTAATAGATCCAGGCATAGTTCCCCCAGGTAACAAGATTTCTCCCGGCACTTTCATCCGGATGATGTTTTTGAATAACTTGTTCAGCTTTTTGGAGATTTTTCAGGGCTTCTTCATTTGAATTCTTTAAGTGGCATACATAGGCTAGTAGATTATAATCATTGCTGTTGGATTGCATGGAAAACTCAATTCGTTCGACAGTTTTTTCCTCTAGGCAATCGAGATCTACATCCTGCTCCTGCAAAGCCCATGTAAAATGACATTGTAGCTGCAGTAGGGAAGTCTCCAAGGAATTCTTGGAAATGGTACTAGAAGAAATCCAAGAGAAAAGTTACTTGTACTGCATTTGGTTTTTGCTATCCTTTTTTTTAAACCAGGCATGATGCACATTAGAGGCAGTCAATACGTCACCTCGTGTCCCTAGTCCACAATACTTCAAACAAGCCAAAGCTGTGGAGAGCAGTAGGTCTAAAGTGCTGACTAGTTATTTTAGTAATTCTCCTTGCTGATGTATGAGGGCATCTCTTACATGGCAACAGAGCTGGTGTTCTGGATGTTGAGGAGGAGGGCTGGTCTCTGGGGTAAAACTGGCACATCTCTGGCCCTCAGGAACATATTTCCTGTGCTGGGAACATTTTATGTACTGTTCCTCTGTGCATGGGGGTGAGCTGATGGTTCTTGGATGGGCCTGGGAGCAGCCTGGGCAGGGTGTTACATCCTCCTGCCATTGCCTGCAATGTGCCCCTGTGTGGATGCACAGACAATCTTTACACCTTCACAACACAGAGGAGATGACATTTCAGTCCATATTGTGCTCTCCCTTAAAGAAGGAATCACATATGACTTTCTTACTGAAGCTTCTCAGTCAAATACTTCTCTGCTGTCCCTCCTGTAAAACCTAGTAGGTCTAACAGCTACAACCATGTCTTCTGGGGGAAAAAACGAGTGATGGAAAGACTGCAGAACTATGAGGAGGCAAATCAAGAAGGAATTGGGAAGCAATTGTTACAGGTTCTTGAACAGTGCCAAGCACACTGGGGAAAGCGACACTGAAAACACGTTTCTACCCAAACCATCTGACAAAGAGGTACTGGAGGAAGGTCAGACTGAAAAGGTATTTATGAATGCTCTTAATGCATAAGTTTGTCTTACAAACTTCTTTGCCTTGCTCAAATAATCTTCTCTGTCTAACTAATCTTTTTGATTGGTATTCCCAACAGTCCCTAATTAAACAGCTGTGTGTGAGGCAATTACAGTTCTAGGATGAAGGGGAAGTGAGAGTAAGCTCCTGTTATTATCATTGTCTTGTTAGAAATCTCTGGCTACAGGTGAATAGCACAGAACAGATAGTGGCTTCCAAATCAACAGGAATAGCTGCAGCCTTTAAATAGTCCTATTCAAACAGCCTGGATTTCATCCCCAAACTTCATGCACAGTTTTTCTGACTTTCAGCTCTGTTCACTGAGACTGAACCTTGTTGGAGAAGCAACAACATGACAATATTCAAGATCATCCTTATTCTATTTCGATTCTTCCAGTAAATAATCTGCAAAATATTTTCTGCTCTTTGGAGGCTCCAAGTCCCTCACAGCTTACAGTTAGGCAAATAATAAGCATTACTTTTCCTGTGGCATAGAGAAAAAGGATCTTTCAGAGACTGGGTTGTCCTCTTACCTCATAGTTTTCCTTCTCTGCTCGCCTGTCTTCAGGTAGCTTCGAAGCCAAAGGATTGCTGTTCACTGTTGTTATGCCTTCTATTTTATGTGGTCCAGCCCTCATGTGATCTGTGGGTAATTTAACAGGAAACCAAAACTGACACTCCAGCTTTACTATGAGTCTCGATTAGAGAAATGGAAACTTGTGAGTCACTAAGGTGCCCTTTGCCAGCCTGGCTCTCTGCCAGGTATGTATTACCTTGTGTTGTGGAGAATGTGGCACCAACTCCTTGTGCTCCCAGTGCTCCCAGCATTTACTTTGTTCAAAGGCAGAGACATCTACAATAAGGAGAATATTTCAGGATAGTACGGGCTGACCAGGTTGTCATGCATAGGCTAGGGAAGGGTCATTTCTCCCTCCTGCCTCTGCCAATGCATCTTTGTGCAATTTATAGAATCACAGAATCGTAAAATGTTAAGAAGTTGGAAAGGACTTTGAAGATCACCTAGTTGCAACCTTTCCTGGTGTGGGCAGGTACACCTTTGTTGTGGGCAGAGTGGGAGCTTCAGACAAAGTTTGTTAGAGAAGCTCCTGTTGAGTCCAGAGGTGCAGACAGGACCCCCTTGCTTTCTAAACTCCTTCTCAAAGAGGAGCCTGTGTGGCTGGATCCAATCTTAGCCCCAGACTTTGTCAACAATTTATGTCTAAAGGGTTATACAGGTGTAATTGAACCTTTGTACAACTTTGTCCCACAGGGATTAAGGATGGCAAACCAGATACATTTATATAAATAGATATGATTTATTCTGAGAATGATTAGACAAAGAGGTGTTAATCAGAATTATTTACTACACAGTATACAACTATTCTAATATAGTGCACTATAAAGCAATATTGAAGCAATATTAAAGCAGTTGTATTAAAGCTACCAAAACCAATTATTAAGTAGAGATTGATGTTACTCATCCTCAACCTCAAGGAACAACCTTGAGGGATGTCCCCACTCGAGGGAGGAATCCTCACACATATACTCCAAGAAGAGATATGTTAGAAGACCCTGCCCCTAAAATTTGGGACTGGGCTTTTGTAGTATGAAGTGATTGACTGTCAGTCAGATGTGTCCAGGCCAGCTGTGTCAGCACAGCAGCTTCAGATAAGTTATCAGTAGTATCATTTGTTTGTTCCTTTACCAGTTATCTGTATCTCGCCTTCAGGATGAGTCAGACTGGTTTCAGTATCATTTCAGCACCAAAAGCAGGATGGCACCCCTTCCCCATTTACCTTCTCCATTTAGCTTTGCAAATAGGACATTTATCAAGCTGTTTTACCCCATTCCAAAGCAGAGCATCCTGCTACAACCTTCCACCAGACCAGGTTGCTCCAGGCCTTGTGCAACCTGTCTTTGAACCAGTGTTCAAAGATGCCCCAACACAGGGTTGGGCCATCCACAACTTCCCTGCGCAACCTGTGCCAGTGTCTCACTACCTTCACAGGAAATTTTTTTCCCTAATATCTAACCTACATTTCCCCTCTTTCAATTTGAACCCATTACTTGTCCTACCACTGCAGTTCCTAACAAAGAATGCCTCTAC